CCCGTTTGCTGTCGCGTTCAGACTGTCTCTAGGGATATCCCTGTCTCTGTGCGAGTTTGTTTGTGTCCTCGTCTTTGCTTTATTCTGTTTTATTTTGTCTTTTGTTTTTTACTGGCACGTACCCCCGCCCCTTCCTTTGGCCGTCGACCTGCCTCCATGTAGTGGGAGGCTACCCCCCCAGGCTGGTGGTGCGGCCGTTCCACTAGTCTAATTTTTTATTTTTTTTTGTTTTATTTGTTTCTGATTATATTTTGTTTTCTTGTATTTTATCGCTCTGCTGACCCTTGGGGTCCATTTTATTTTGGTATACTTTTTCTAGGTACGTTAGCCTGTGACCACGGAAATTGGCCGAGTCAAGTGATGGATTAGTACGGAGAGATTGAGACAGAAGGAGGTACTGGATAGAGAGACCGGGATGGTTTTTAATGTGAAGACAACAACAACAACAACAAGTGTTGGATCAGTACGGACATACGAAGGTAGAGAGAGATCGGAACGGTTTTTAATGTGAAGACAACAACAACAGAGCTGCAACAACAACAAGACACTCCGTTCGGGTCGTATCTTGGTCCTACTTTTGTATGTGCAACAACAATGCTGTTCACTTCGGTGGAAAGCGGATTTCTGTTCGATACGTTGTCGGGAGTGCCGAGGGGGGAGGGCTTGGCCCTTGTGGTTGCAGGTGGTAAGGAAGTGGGAACAGGGGGTGGCAGTGTCGGGGGTCTGGGGGAACATGGGCTTGAGTGGGGGGTGCCTCAGAAAGAGCAAGATGGCGGATGTTTCTCTCTTGGTGTGACCGGTGGCAGTAGTATCGATCAGCAATGCCGCACAGACTTTTGCGCGCCGAAATATGCATGCGACAGCTTTAACCTAACCACTTCGGTGGAAAGCGGATTTCTGTTCGATACGGTGTCAGGGGTACCAGGGAAGACGGGGCCGAGTGTTGTTTGATTCCGGGTGGATGAGGTCGGGGTTTTGTGCGTTTTTCTCCATCTAAGGTTCGTGCCTAGAGTTCAGCTGTAGTCTAGTGTTTCAACCAAAGTTTTGTTGACTTAGAGGCAAACATTCCTAGCTACCGGGCATCGAGTTAATTTGGCGGCATGACGGCCTTTACGATCGACTTTTTGTGTATGTCTGCAATTATCTGCGATTGTCGGAGGGCAAACAAAATAGTAATATTATGGTTACAACACTTCTACACATACATGTCATCCACATTACCCCCCCCTTTATGTGCCACAAATCCATCGTTGCTAAGGATGAATTTTGGCGTTTCTAGAGGACTTGGGCGATATATATGGAGACAGGTGTTGGAAATATTGTCATATTGGTTGCAACATCTTCAACCATGTCTGAGTCAGATTTTCCGTGTTTAGAAAACACGAGTTCGTCAAACTCAGTTGAAGATGCGGTCCATAGCAAAAGTGCAGGAAATCATACTCAGAAAATATGGAAGATGCTTTGTCTCCTGCATGATTCTGAAGAAAATTCCTCCGTTCAGATGTCGTCTAGTGTTTATATACATAAATATTTTTCCTTCACTTCAAATCAGCCCCCACGGCACTAGTGCCGTTTACTTCAACCCGTGGTCACACAGAAGAGCCCCTCTCTACCCTCCCCTCCTACGGTACTTTGCTCTCGAATTTTATTGCGAGAAGAATTCAGCACTCTCTTCCCTCTGTGTATACACGAACTAGCGCTATCCACTAGGCCAGGAGCGGAAGCGAGAGAAAAAATCACTTTGCAAGGAAAGCTCGCTTACGCCGGGATTCGAACCCCTGACCTGACGTACGTCTAGACGGTTTCGACGTTACCAACCAGACCACCGGGGCGACCGGCTATATTCTAGGGTGGCCATACCCCGGTTGTGTTCACGCATTTGAATAGCAACCGTGATTTCAGGTACAACACAGAGTTTGAAACTGATACAGCTGGCGCCTGCAGTTAAGAAACGTTTATTTCAGGTCCAGCCTCGAATTCTTATTGTGGGCTATAAACTCAGGGTATGTCGTTCAGTTTCTTATTTCAAGTTTCTTATTTTTTCGTGCAGCCAAATCCTTCTTCTTAAATCGGCAATTTCTTATTTCTCTGCTTGCATACTACACAACGTTCCAAATATACAAATGATTTGCACTGCTTTCTTCGACCCCCGTACTCAACCCCGATTCTCACTACCGACGGCTGCACGTAAGACCACTCCCTAGAAGCGAAATGTATCCAGCGGCAACGTCTCGCTATCGCTACAAGGTCCTGTGCCCCCCTCATGAGTGAGGGCTGAAACTAAAGAAATGCATAATAAACACCGCATGATGCCTCACCCGCACGCTGACGTGCCAACAACGAAAACTACCCCGTCATTATGTTGCAAGCTCCGCCGTGAGGCGAACATTGGGGGTTGTCACCCTTTTGCGCCTCCCGCTCCCTTCCTTTGGGTCTACCTCTAGGAGAACCCACGCCCCAATTGCGACCTCTTCATCCGTGCTGTACGACTCCAACGGCATCTTCATGCTACGCGTGCTTTCGTCACAGTGCAGGATGACGCGGTAGTCGTACTCCTGCCGCGAAGCGGGGTGAGATCTGAGACTAATTACCCCTCCGAACCAACCCAACCCGAGTTTCACGAGAACCCCACGCTTCACTTTGGGAGGGGGGGGTCGAGGGAGAGGGGGAAAGAGCGAGAGAGCTGTGGGGTTTGTTTGTTATTCGACACACTCCCCCGTAAACCCTCGTTTCTTATGTAGTAGGGCAGCGGTCGCCGCTGTGTTTCTAGTTGAGACATTTCTTATTGTGTGACCCAGATTGAGCTATGTTTCTTAACCCTATTTTCTTATTTTTCGTGAAAAAGTGAGCCTAAATTTCTCAACAAAATGTTTCTTACCTGCGGGCGCCAACTGTAGCTGAATATACCATGCCTGGGAAAAATCTCTTTGGCTACAAAACAGTTAAACGATGTCACGGAAGCTGGTAACTCATTTTACTCATCCTGCACAGTTTTTTTCATCGCACGCGTGGATCAGGCGCTGGCTGGATGGTAGTGCAAAAAGGGCTGTTGTCACAAAATGACAAGCACTCACGGAAAATTGGTCGCGTGGCCAACCGTGTTAACAACTTGATTTTGTCTTGTAGTACTTGAATGGATCTTCGTCGAAAACATACGCAAGACATAGAACCGAGAACCAAGGAGTGGACAACGTAAATGGGATGCCGGTGAAATCGATCTGTCGGTCGCTTGTTGAAACCGTAGAACGTATCCACACGTCGCGTGGTTTCCGTTGGTGTCTTGAACAATGCTGACAGCAACAAAGTCATGAGACCCTCTCTCCTCTACCTCCTATTTTTGTTTTGTTTCCCCGCGGCGTCGTATGGTCAGTCTCGGACAATTTTTCCACAATGCCGAGCCATGCTTAGGGAATTGTTTCTCTGCATACTCTCCCTCCTTTCCCTCGCTCCTCGACAAGCTTTTGCTTAGACATGGGTTGTAGTGAAGGGGGGGGTCTTTCTGGCGAGCAGGGCTAGACTCACCCTCAAGGGATGACCGAAACCTTCTTGCTGCTGCGCATATCCGCCGCGAGGCATGCGCGTGGTGGTGTAGTTGGGTCGGCACTGATGGGGTCAGGC